CCGAGCTGCCCGCCTTGGAGTCGCTGGGGGGGGTCACTCTCCAGGCCTTCCCTCTGTAGCCACGCATGTAGAGGTTTTGGCTGTAGTGGGCGTGGCCAACTCTGAAGCCAGCCGGAGCCCCATTCCTGTACGTTTGTGCCCCAAAATAGCCCTGCCTGTCCCTATATTTTTGTCTTCGGGGCATGATTTTTAAAAGAGTTTCCTTGGTGTGAGGTATTTGTGTTGTTATTCTTTGGGGCTCACCTACCTCCCCAGGGTCCCTAGAAGTTAAATCTGTAACAGTGATGGTGGTGGATGCGTCTCCTCTCTAGCACACACCTGCATAAGACATGGTCAAGTGTCTTAATACATTGCAGTTGTTCGAAGCAGTGGGAAAGAGGCATAGTGTAGGCCAGTCTTGTCAGATCTTGGAATCTAAGCAGGGTTGATACTTGGAAGGGAGACCATCTAGGAAGACTCAGGAGAAGGAGGCAGTGGCCAACCACCTTTGCTTCTCACATGCCTCAAAAGCCCCTTGCTGGGGTTGCAAGTCAGCTGTGAGTCAATGGCACTTTACACCCACATACACACACAGTTGTGTGAGGGACAGAGGCCCCAGAGCATGGCTGAAGGGCACAGGAACTCATCTGGCCAAAGCAAATGCAGGCTCAAAAAAGGATATCGTAGAACAAGAAAAGGGCAGCTCAAATGATCCAGCAATTGAAACACATACTGTACAAAAAAAGGCTTTGGAGATGTAAGTGTGTGTGTGTGGGGAGTTCATGAAAAAAGTATGCACAAGGTGGCAGAAGTGGGAAGGGAGACGTTTTTCTCTCTTTTCCATAATCCTAGGCCTCGGGTTGGGACCTTTTATTAAATTCATGATATCTAAGATGTGAAGGAGATTATACACATCGGATATTTTCTTTTGTTATAAAGATGTACATTAATCTCTTTCAGTCAAAACCTAAGTTTAACCTGTTTAAAATCGTTCCATGTTACTCATTTTAATATTCATATAAGTGAGCCAAGAGTTTATTCATCTCTTCAGAATCTTTTCCAGTCAATGGTCCATAATGCTGGCAGATGATCTAGATGATCTCTGGGAATGGGTAGAATATTTACTCCAGATGTCCCTATATTTTCTGGAGAGAGTCCCTTTTTTCTGTTCTCTGTCCTCAGCAAATCATTAGCATAATAGGCCACACCCAACAGCAGAAAGTCATTAGCATATTAGGCCACACCCCTGACTGCATCTGATTGACATATTAGGCCACACCCCCATGCCTTCCCTTGGCTTGCCCAGGCGCCCTGTGGCTGCGCAGTGACCAGGCAAGCCGGCCCTTGGACAGGCAAAGGGAGGCATTTAAATGTCTCCCCGATCCTTCCAGGGGCCCCCCCTGAGCTGCCCACCTTGGAGTCGCTGGGGGGGGGTCACTCTCCAGGCCTTCCCTCTGTAGCCACGCATGCAGAGGTTTTGGCTGTAGTGGGTGTGGCCAACTCTGAAGCCAGCCGGAGCTCCATTCCTGTGCGTTCCTGCCCCAAAATAGCCCTGCCTGTCCCTATATTTTTGTCTTTGGGGCATGATTTCTAAAAGAGTTTCCTTGGGTGATGTCATCGCATCAGGGGCATCACGTGACGTCCCCACCCAACCACGGAACATCCCCCAAAGTCCCCTACTCCAGGCAAGGTAAGATCTGGCAACCCTATCTCCAGACAACAAAGATGTGTTCCCTTGGGAAAAATGGCTTCTTCGTAGAGTGGACACTATGGTATTATACTATGATGAGGTCCCTTCCCTCCACAAACCCCTCCACCCCCAGGTTGCACCCCCAAAATCTCCAGGTGTTTCTCAGCCCAGAACTGGCAACTCTAAGTGTGCTTCTTCATTCCTTTCACTAAGGTCTCCTGAATTTAAGAGGGCTAGAAACTTGATCCCCCCCCAAAAAAAACAACACCAAAACCCAAATATCCCTGAATAGACTGGGCTTCCTGTGGCCTGGAACCCTGAGAGCATCAGAAAAAGTGCTTCCAGTGTCTTCAAACTTGTGCCTGTTGAAGCAGAAGATACTTGACACACTTCACAGCCCTCAATACAGATTCCAGGGTTGTAGAAAACCCTGGGAGGGATTGTGGGAGAAAAGGAGGTTGCTGATTCCTTGTGATTTTGGGGTGTGAAAGAGGGTCTCCTTGCCACAGAGCTCTCTCG